AACGGGGCGCAATTGGTAAATCCATGGGAATCCCAATATATTTTGGAAGACCTGGTCTCCAAAAACCACATAGATATTGTCAATCAGAAAATCAAGCATCTTTTTAATGTCAACTTCAGAGTACTTGTGTGAACAATCAGAATGTGTTTGACAAAATAACTTTGGAAATGACCAATGACAAGGTAAATATATTTTCGAGTTCCATTTTTACTGAAAAATCAGCTGTCGGTGATATCAAAAAGTTTGGACTTCAATTTATCGTTGGGAATGGTTGAAAAGTCATAAGTTTTTGAACTGTTAATTTTGGTAAAATCTTTTGATTTCAAATTTTCCACAAGATTCCTTGGAAAGGAGGAAAAGTAGCGACCAAGAGGAGTAGCGAATAAGAACAGGAGACAAAGAGGGATGAACAATCTGAGGTGAGAAATGTGACAGGCGGTTAAGAACATCAGAGGAGGGGGGGACGACCTGCTTTGACTGAATTAAAGATGAACATTAGAGAGAAGCTAAAGATCTTGAGAACGGCAGACACCAGAAGGAGGGGAAGCAAGGAGCGAGCGAGAGCAAGAGCACCATTTAAAGCCAACCTATTCCAATTAACACCAAAACTTTTAGGAAGAAAAGGATCAGGAAAGCTAACAGAGGAGAGAGAGGAATTCGAATAATATTTGAAGGATATGCATAGCGATCCAAGGAGGATGAGGATTTAGGAGAGTTCGAGATGATACAGCCTGACCATCCTTACAATTTGTTCGACGAAACAGAACCAAAGCTGCGTGAAGTCAGAGATGTAACCAAGGAAGCTAGAGCAGCTTCATCACCAGGACCAAACGGAATTCCATACAAGATTTGCAATATACGAGACTAACCCAACCTTTATGGAAACATCTGAAAGTTGTGTAGAGAAGGGAACAGTTAGCTGACAGTTGGCACAAAGCCGAGGGGTGCTTCATTGCAAAGGAGGAAAACTCTAACAGCATTTAAGCAGTTCCGTACAATTTCCATGTTGAGCATCGAAAAGAAAATGTTCCTGACTATTTTGGTAAGAGGATGACAATCTATATTCTGTTTATAACAAGTAAATAGACATAGTTTTGCAGAAAGGAATGCCAGAGGTCTCGGGCTGTATACTGTGTAGAGCGTACAAGTGTTTTGACGGATATTACATGGGAAGCTAAAGAGGTGAAAGGAAAACTGGTAGTAATATTGTGTGATTTAGCCTATGCTTATGAGTCCATGCTTCATAATCTAGGTCAACTTATACTACAGTGCTACCATACACCAGACAGGGATACGGACGTTACTTCAATAACAGTTCACATCCCAGGACTTCACAACATCTTGGCAGCGCCTAGAAGTTGGGATTGCCACGGCATGTACAGTATCAGTAATTATGTTCTCAGCAGCCAAGAATTTGCTGGCGAATTCGGTGGAGAAGATGAGCAAAGGTGCATTGATGAGGGTAGGCGCGACACAACCCCCTGTCAGAGCGTTCATGAAAGAACTCCATCATACAGGCAAAATGGACCTTGAAGGAGATAGAAGGTAGCATCGGTTGGACCCGTATGAAGATCCAACCAACAAAGTTTAGGTGCCTCATATTGAGAAATTAGAAATCACAGAGGAGACGTTTAGTTAGATTGGCAGAAGTGATAATCCCATCAGTCTCAGAAAAACTGGTAAAGTGCCAGGGAAAGTTCTTTGATGATTCACTGTGAGATAAACACAATGTTAGTGACACTAGAGGCCTGTTTATTTAACAGAGCGAACATTTGTGAGCGCTCGCCAAATTCCTTATACCACCAGTAGAAATGTTTGCAAACGCTCGCTCTGTTGAACAGGCCTCTGAAATCAATTGGAGAATTAGGTGAATATCATAGACAAAAGTGCGTTACGAGGGAAATACTAAGTATGGATATACCAGCACGGCGTATTTCCAGGAATTCTTTGGCCTCTACTTGTTTACGATGAGCCACTGACTTCAGTTGTATCGATGGAGCAAAGGATCAGTGAGTATCTTAATAGATGGCTCGGAGTTCCCAGGAGCTTCGGTAGTGTTGGTTTGTACAGTACAGAAACAAAGCTGCTATTACCATTAAAATCCATTGTCGAGGAATTCAAGGTCACCAAGGTCAGGCAGTTTTTGATGTTGTGTGACAATAATGATTCCATGACACGGGAGGCAAGAGTGAACATCAAGACAGGCAGAAAGTGGTCAGCAAAGAAAACATGAGGACTAGAGGCAGAATCACACCATAAGCAAGCCGACATTGTGGGAAGTGTGGCAGTAGGCAGGCAGGGGATAGGAATGATACCATCGACAAGCTGGGTACATCTTTGGAAGTGGAGAAGAGGCAAATTGTGCAGATAGAAGTGTACAAAATGCAAGAGCACACAAAAAAGGTGAAGGCAGTTGGTTTGAAGAAGCGGGGAAGCTGGCTTAACTGGAAAGAGCCCGACAGAAGAAGTCATTTTGGAATGAGATCAGGATAACAGAGTCCCAGAGACTTCCGTTCCAGCTCAAGTCAGTTTACATTGTGTTGCCAACGCCAACCAATCTGACAACATGGGGCATGAGGGACGTCCCAACTGCAATCTTTTGTAGACCAGCCAATCTGGAACATATCCTGTCTTCATGTTCAGTAGGTTTAACAGATGGAAGATACACATGGAGACACAACAAAGTTCTGTCTGTTATTGAAGATGTACTGGAGAAAGCAAGGAAGAAACTTCGGAAGATCAAGGAGGGATTGAATTTTGTAAACTTTATAAAGACTGGTGAACAGAGTCTTTTAACTTCACTGGTTCCACAACATGTTAATTAAATTACAACTTCTGATAAAGGGAATGATCTCAATTTTAAATACAACGACAGTATTTAATCACACGACAAATTTAACTAAATGAATTATGAATTGTTTTTTTATATACACAGTATTGTACGGTGTTGTAGTAATGAACGATGAACAGAAGTGTCACCATTATGAACTTAGGCATATAGACACTTAAAGAACATTGGGTGTGAAAATATAAAATTTAAAACATCAACCATCAACCTTATATACGACTGAAAATATAAGAGATTTCAGAATATTGATGACTTTGAAGTCATATTTAACGGCACCTACAAGATTATACCCCCACTTCTACATTTCAAAAGGATCTAATGTGACGTCATCTAATCATTTTAAGATGCACACGGCAACATTATATACTATCATTATATATAGTCTAAAATCAAACTATTTTCAAATCTGTATCTTTTATTTTGTTTAATGGGTGTGCTCTATTTCAATTTTAGAATTTATTGTGGAAATAGAGGACAAATTACCCATTTCTAGAAAGAATGGATATGGTAAACCTTGTGAATACTTCTAATCAATGCACAGGGGCTGATACCATACTATCAGTATATTTAATTTTATGTTATCACTATATACTTTCATTTTTGATTGTAACGCATCATTTGATTGTATAAAAAATTAATCTAAATTGTATAATCTGGTTTGCCTACATCACAATGACTTATGTCAAAAACGTATCAATCCGCTTGATGTTACATTTAAAATATGAACAATTTGAAGGCATTTTAAGGGATAAATTGTCTTGTTTTATATACTTCATTACTGAAAATTAAATTATAAGGAATGAATTAAACAGCAACCCAAATTATACTGCTATAACAGGGGTTGGAGTAGTTTATGGTTTTTTATAAACTGCAAAGTAAACTGAGCCAACCCAGGTTATTGTAAAATCTTATATTTTCGTGGGGTCAAATGTTCATGCTTTAGTAAAACCTCTTGGTTTGTGGGGATTTAAATTTATGGAAGAGGAATTGTTGAGTAGTTATGAAACATTTTACATTTCATGGAGGACATAATTCATGGGCCTCTTCATACCTTGAAAACAACGAAAATTAGATCGCCACGAAAATTTGTGATTTCAGAGTATACAGTATAATTTGGGTTGCTGTTTAATTCATTCCTTAAATAGCCATCACATAAAATCAACCAAAGTTTGTTACTGATCCCTGTAATCTTTAGTGCTATGCATATATCAAAACGACCAACTTTCTAGTACAGGTTTATGATTATAGTTTTTCAAACGTGCTTATCAGAAATGCAAAAAATTTAGGTCCTCCATAAACAGATAACATTGTGATTATTTTATTCAATGGATTTTAAATATCAATTAAATGAAATTTTGCTTTGGACACCTTCTTCAAGTAATTAGCAAATTTCAAACAATTATAAATATCTATTTGACAATAACAATGACAGACGTGGTAATAATTTTTTTCAACATAGTTTAATGGATAGATATCATACAAAGTATTTTTATAGTCTTCTTCTTCATTGACAGTCTATGAGATTTTGGGACCAAATGATAGCACTATTTTAAACAGTAAGATGTGTGAAGACACTAGGTTGTGTGTAAATTAATGTTTGTCAAGGTCAGTGTTCCATTCCCTGCTCCTCCACGGCGGGGTCTGCAGGCTGGGGGTCAGGTTGTTGTCCCTCATCCTCCTGTGTGTCCATGGCAGCCTACAAAATGTCATACACAAAGTTACTCCTACTGGTTTTTTTTCCTGCATCTTTTAATGTACATGTATACAATTCCTACAGTGACTTCTGTGGCAAAAAAAATCATCAAATAATGCTCTTAAAAGTACTATGATAATGTTTTTATATCTTTAATTTAATCATAAGACAATATTTACACAACTGAAGAAAAAGCCTACTGAATTACAGCTGATTAAGGTATCCCAGGAAAAAAAATGACAATAAAAGATGCTATTTAACATGCTATGTTTGAACATTATTGGATATGTTTACATTACACTGTACTGTGGGTGTCATACTGACCTGCTCAGCTCCTGAAGGGGGCGGGGCACGAGATCTTTCTTCTCCCTCAATCATTGCCAACTTTTCAGATTAAGGCAAACATATTCTACTTATTCTTCTTTAAATTTAAACTTCTTGTTAAAGTCTACTCTCTCTTTTTATATATATTATAATGATTATACATGCTTACTTCCCAGAGTGAAGGACTGAGAATCTCAATGTGAATAGAAAAGGATACATATTTTTGTACATCTTCATCATCATAAATGGTAAAGTCTGTATCTTTCCCAACAATTCCTAGAGAGCAGTTCTAAATAGAAAAAATAATAAAATTGAGAACTTATACAAGTTTACAATGTGATTCATATTATTACAAGAGTGTTACATGACTGTAACATGAGAAGAATTTTCAAAAAATTATCTCTTTGTTTAAATTGTACTGTAAATACACGTACAAATCTTAATGTTTTCTTGGAGTTAGCAAAAATTCAATATTAAAATAAAGTAAGAAAATTAGAAATATTTCAGAATGATGTTAAAACTTGTGTTAGCACTACATACTTTGGTAGTAAGCTCCACCTCCTGTGGTAAGGTTTCTCTCAATGCTCTCAGTCCATGTTTGATCAACTCCTCTAAAGAACCTAAAAACAATATTAACAAATTCACAACACTACACTCTATCAAAGAGAAATCCATGTTAAATAAATCTATCAAACGATTTATTCATTTTTTGATTTAAAAACATCAATTTTCCCCCATAATAAAGTCCACTCTTTTCAAACAATAATTCTATCAAACTTGTTAATTTTACTACAGGTTTACATACATTCAGAGAATTTGTCAAGGTGTTTTTCTACATATGTCCTTGCCGACTGTGATCGGGCACCAATAGCCATGGCTTTACAGTCATAGTAGTTTGCCGAGGGACAAGTCTGGTAAATATGTGGTCCTTGGTCCTACAAGGCAAACAGAGAAACTTGTAATGTATCCATCAGTTTGTAATAAAATGAAACATTCAAGACTAAGAAAATCTATATTTTCTCAGACAGTGTTGCATTAAGTCAAAAACAGCCATATTGATAATTCTATTGACATCATAATGACATTATATTAAATGGGAAACAAGTCAATTAAAGATTAAGGGAATTATTATAAAATCAAATCATATTACCTACACAGTACACTGTACTTACATCATATCCTGCCACCAGTAAACCCACTCCAAAGGGGCGTCGCCCATACCTCTGTGTGGGGATTTGTGATTCTCATTCATAAGGAACAATATTATTGTCAACTGACTCCAGTACTTACAAAATTAAACTTAAAGACCCCCCTCCAACCACCCCCCCCCTAAAAAAATGAAATTACTTCCGACAAGCCCTACAGTGGTGGATCCATTTCAAAATCTGGTGAAATTAATCAACCTTTATGTATTAAAGAAACCCTAATGATAGTAGAAATTTTATCTGGCTGTCAAAGGATACTATTTCCAACTGCTGATACGAGGCGGGAGATTGGTAATGGTGAATCATAGGCATATCTGGAGTTTAAGCATTCCGATCTCATAAAGTTACTGGAAACAAAATATCATACAAGTTAATCACTATCACACATATTGTCTTAGCAAGAGTTTCTATTGATTTTGAAGTTTGATACAACTATTGAATATTTTTTCCCCTGTTTTTTTTTAGAAATCATTAAGTTAATAAGTCCACTATAATGTAACTCTGACACAACCTTAGAAGTCGAGCATCCGCTGTAAGGCCAGCTATGGACACCCCTACATGGTCATCAATGGGGATAATCTTCTTCTGATGTGCTGCTAACTCCGAGGATGCTCTCTACATTACAGAAAAATATATGCAAAACATAAAAAAAGAAAATAAAAAGAATCCAAGGAACTAATCAACAGTAATATTTCCAGTTAAGTATATGATCATTTAATAAATATCTGTTATAAGTAAGATCAAATGTTTCACATGCCATATCAAAGACAAAAGTTATAAGGGAAAACCTTTAAGGCCACAAGGATTGCATGTGTTTTAGACTTCAGACCAACAGTAGCTGATCCCTGCTTCACAGCTTCCATGGCATACTCCAGCTGATGAATTCTACCCTGTTATCACAATGTATTAAACATTTTCAGTCTTAATATTTTCAAGTATTTTTGAGTGATTTAGCCATTAAGCAAAGGAAAAATAAATATCAACACTTTAATTAACTCTCTCTATACCTGTGGACTCCATACTGTGACATCATTGTCATACTGGTTTCTAAACTACAAAATAAAGTTACATCATTTCATCATACTTCTAGAGGAAAATATGTAAGAATTATTTACTCTGACATCAGGTGATATCACAGTCTACATATTCCAAATGTCTGGTAGGTTAGAAATGATTTTAAAGTGAATACAGTCATCTGGAATTAATCTCAGCGAGATGTGGTAGGGAATTTGGTCCGGTGTCCCTACGACATCTCAGCCCAGTGTCACACAAATAACTCGGATTTTCTTGCCCCGACTTTGACCACCTGTTTCAATCAATACAGGCTGAAATGAATTAGCTGCAGATCTTTTGTTTCTTACCTTTGAAAGGTTTAAATCCAACAAAATATAAAGTTGTTGATTTTTCATCGAAATGTCCTATTTGTTGAAACCTCCAATGCTGAAAAGTTCCAGCAATAGTTTGCTTTGAATACTTTGTTCTACTACTTTTTCCAATAGAAATGAACCATAGTACAAAGCAGACTATTGCTGAACTCCTCAACATGAGATATTTCTATGAAAAATCAACGTTATAATTTGTTGGATTTAAAACTATTAAAGTTAAGAAACAAAAGTTTTATAGTGATAGAGACTTAAAAGGATGTCCAAAGGAAAAGGTTGAAGCCGTCAGCTAATTCGTCTCAGCCCATATTCATTGAAACAAGAGGCCCAAGGGCCTTGAATCGCTCTTCTGATAAATTGTACAACCTATCACTTCTACTTGAAGCCTCTAACCCTAAGTATTCTAAGAGCCGAGTTGCATCAACTGACAAAGTTTGATGATTCTTAGCCAATTATAACTGAAGATATTTTAATAAAGCTATAAAAAAAACCATAAGTAGGTCACAATGACCTACTTTAAGATTGAAGTTTTCTGAGGACTCAAGATGCATTAATAAACAAAGATTAAAGATTCTAAGCCAATAAGTATGTGAGATAGTCAAAAGTAAGTCACTTTGACCTACTTTTTCATCTACATTCTTGGAAAAACCAAAATGCATCAACTGACGAAGTTTGATTATTCCAAGCCAGTAAGTACTGGAGATACTTAATTATAGCCATAAAGTGTTAAAAGTAGGTCACTGTGACCTAATTTTTAGTAGGCGATTTTCGAAAGCCCAAAATACATCAACTGACAAAGTTTGATGATTCTCAGCCAATATGTATCCGAGATATTCAAAAGTAGGTCACCATGACCTACTTTTTGGTCATCACTCTCCGAAAACCCAAGATGCATCAACCCACTAAGTTTGATGATTCTAAGCTTATAAATACCTAAGATACTTAAATAAAGCTATAAAATGTCAAAAGTAGGTCACCGTGACCTACTTTTTGATCGTCACTCTCCGAAAACCCAAGATGCATCAACTCACAAAGTTTGATGATTCTAAGCTTATAAGTACCTAAGATACTTAAATAAAGCTATAAAATGTCAAAACTAGGTCACCGTGACCTACTTTTTGGTCGTCACTCTGCGAAAACCCAAGATGCATCAACTCACAAAGTTTGATGATTCTTAGCCAACAAATACCGAAGATACTTAAATAAAACTATAAAATGTCAAAAGTTGGTCACCGTGACCTACATTTTAGTCAACATTTTTCAAAGTCCCAAGATGCATCTGCTGACCAAGTTTGATGATCGTAGGTCTGAAGGTAATCAAAATATGCCTTTTAAACAATATGAAAACATATGCCTGCAAAATTCAAAAAGTAGGTCACAGTGACCTACTTTTTCATAAATATGTTTTAAGGTCCCAAGATGTAGCAATTTACAAGATTTGATGATTCTAACCCTCTCAGTGTCTGCAATAATGGGATTAAATGTTTTAGAAAGGATAAATCATAAAGTTCAAAAAGTAGGTCAAGGTGACCTACTTTTAAGTTGACGTTGTTCAAGGACCCAAGATGCATCAACTAACAAAGTTTGATGATCATAGGCCTTAAAATGTCCAAAATATGCCTTCAAATCAATTTGAAAACAAATGCCCGCAAAATTAAAAAAGTAGGTCACTGTGACCTACTTTTGATTTAACATGATGTGAAGTCATAAGATGCATCAACTTACAAGATTTGATGATCCTAGTCCTTACAGTAAGCAAAATATCAACGTTTTTATCAATTGTAAATTTAGGTCAACTTTGAAGTGACCTTGAGACCACGCCCTTTGCCCCAGGGTCATGCCTTGAACAATTTTTAATCTTCAACATATTCTGATCCTTGTGTGTAAGTTTGGTGAAATTCTGCCTGGTGGTTCTGGAGAAGAAGATTTTTTAGCAACCAGTACTTTTGGTTTTGTTTTCCTGATTATCTCCCCTTGTTTAAGGGTCCCAACCCTTATTTTAGTATAAATGGTAGCCCTTGGGCCAAGGATACCCTGTGACAAATTTGACACTGATTGGCCAAGGCGTTCTTGAGTTATGGCCCCATTTTCTAAAAAGTTAACGCACACCGCACACCGCACGACGCACACCGCACAAATGGCCATAGCATTAGCTCTTTGAGCCTTTGGCTCAGAAGAGCTAAAAAAACGTTCGAATTCAGGGCAAGAAAACCTGAGTCAGTTTGTGTGACACTGGGCTGAGATGTCTTAGGGACATAAGACCAAAATTTTTAGTCCCTACGGCATCTAGCTGAGATTAATCCAGTAATACACAATTGTCCCAACTCTAGATAGAATGTTTTATCGTTAAAATAATAAATGTCCTATGGACCCGGTTTAACAATAGAATTCGTTCCATGTATTCGTAATGTAGCAAAAGAAACATGGGCGATAACTCGTACTCACTATAACTCAGTGCATTTACTACAAACAATCTAGAGAGTTCCGAATGTAAACATGGCAGGTAAATTTGAAGCAAGAGAAAAACGTTGAGAAAATTAATTGGATTTTCGTCATTAGATGGATTATTTTCTGGGATAAAAGGCATAAGCAATCTCAAAAAGGTTTGTTTTGATTAATTTGGTAGTTATTTCCAGTGCAAATTCTTTTATATTCTTCAAAATCGTTTCGGAGCGGATCCGCTCCGATTTGCTACATTGCAAGTATATGGGATGTATTCTAACTGTGGTGAGGGCTTGTACCGAGACACAGTTAGATCATTGAATTATGGTTAGAACGGTACCTAGTGAAAATGGCACCTGGTGAAAACGGCACCTGGAATATGCAAAACGGCACTTGGTTAAAACGGCACTTAGTGAAAACGGCACTTGGTTAAAACGGCACTTGGAGGAAAAAGTATAATTATATTACTTATGTTATGACAAATATTTGACATAAGTTCTTTTTTAAGTCAAAATTTAATCTGTTGACTTTAGAATTTTTTGTGGCTTTGTTTTTGCTTTATTTTCAATCTATTGTTTAAAGGTAGTATTTATAACACATGTGGGATTAAGAATAATTATATTTGAAGTGTAGTGTTGATAATACGAAAAAAATGGTGTAAATGATTTTAAAAAAAATAGTTACAGTAAAAGTCATTTTATCTCACATTTGATTTCCATCTAATGCTATAGAAATTATTTGTAACAATATCAACACTGTATTATCTTCATTATTTAAAAAAAATGTTATTGTTCTTCTATGTACATGTTTAATATTGTATGGATATTCATATTTTATTGGATATTCATATTTTATGTACAGTTGGGAGAGGACTATCTAAGTTTTTTCTAACTTATGTACAATCCATTTGACATATATTGTAAAGAAAAACACAATACTATATAATTGAAAATTGACGATCAGCAGATGATTGAAGGGGACTTGGAGGTGTGAAATGGTCTTTTGTTTCTTAATCCTACAAATGTATTCTAAGTAAACATACTCTAACTGGCTTCTAATTAGTCAACTGTGACTGACAACCCCCAAAATAGAGTAGTATACATATTTGCAATACTAACTTTAAATTTCAAAGGATTATAATTAATTTGGATTTGATCTCTTTGTAGAAAATAATTGACAGATAGTTTGCAGTACAGAACAAGTACAATAAAAAATTGAACCACTGTACAAAAGTATAATAATTTTAAATGAATTTGTCTATTTTTACCCCTAAAATATTTTTAAAACATTTTTATCAATAATATACACATTTATTTCTTTAAATGTAATATAATATATATAATATTTTCTGTATAAACAATATCAAATTCTCAAAATTAAAAAAGTGCCGTTTTAACTTTTCTAAAGTACCGTTTTGACTACTCTCAAGTGCCGTTTTGCATATTTACAAAGTGCCGTTTTCACCAGGTGCCGTTTTAACTTGTACCCAGATCATTCTAACTATCCCAACTCCAATCCAACAGACTCTACATTTTTAAATAAAATGAATCAGTCATCAGTTTATTCAAAAATCATAAAATTACCTGATAAGTATGACATAAAAAGATTGGACTTATGATTTTACACCAAACTTGGAGGGTAAAAACTGAAAGAAGCGCAAGAGCCAAGACACAAACTGACAAAGCACACCTTCTACAAGAAGTTTTAGGTTAAGAGTGAGTTTAAAATAAAGCTATTGAAATGGTAGCTTTGAAAGGCAGCTAACATTACAACCATCTTAAAGTTCAAATAAGATTCTAAACTTCTTTACCATTGTTTTTAGAATAATCAAAAATAGCTTCGCAGGCAGGTGACTGTGTAATTTTTTTCGCAATATACAATTTCTTCCTCCAAAGGCAAGAGAGCTAAATTCGACTAACTCAAACATATAAAGCTCGGATATAAAGTTATTATCAAATATGTGATAGTGCTACTGCATGAAGTAAAACTTTATCAACATGATCAATAGTCATTAAAATATATATACACATATAAAGAAAAATTAAACAGCAACAAAAAAAGCATTTAGTTGATCACAAACGAAACATTTTTAGAACGACCATAACGTTTCTTCAACATACCAAAATGCAAAGTCGGTAAAACGTTTAAATAAAGCGGTGCAATTGATAATCTTGATTACGCATTTCATTGACTTTGACATACGCATTCGTGTTTGCAGTTTCTTTTTCTATGATTTTCCTTTTTAAAATTGTACATGTGCTAATTGATTAAGTATGGAAACCCTTCTTGAACAGCAAAGACGTTATCATGAAGAACGAGAAAGACTTATGGACGCATCAGTTAAAGAAATGTTACACCCTTCAAAACCGGTAACAACTTCTAACATTTTGTTATTCTCAGTTTGATTATTTTGATTGTTAAATATTTGAACCAATGACAAGATATGTAGATGTGTTATAATTTCAGTTGTGTTGCCGTTATTTCAATTCAAATTGATTATGCAACAAAGACTTTATTGATTGTCGAATCTGTAAAGTATCTTATTCGTATAATTGATGATCATGAGTAAAACATGTTGGGCACTCAGGGCTCTACATTAACTTTTTTTCCCACCTGTTCATTTGGACAAGTGACCAAGATATTTAGTTGTCCTAACTTCAACTTCACTTGTCCGCAAATTTTTCAATAAATTTTGATTGATTTGTGATATTATTATACCCACGCCAGTGTTTTCAATAAGAGCCAGCAACCGGCAAAATTAACTGCCTGTACAAGAAATTTTGCAGGCTATGAAATATCCGTGATTAGATTTTGCCGGGGCTGATACGTGAAATCCATAGATTTTATCGCAACTATTTCCGTGATGTAGAGGAGCTTCCCTTGAGTGAGCTCACTTTTCAAGGAAGTTTGATTAGATCGATAGTTTCATGTAATGGCGTTGCGGACAACGAATATTTGAGTGAAGTCGTGGAGAAACGTGCTGCTGCTGTAACACATGCGTTTGAGATCACATACATTAAGAGGCATAAAGCATGGTCCCTTCCGAAAAGATTTTGCTTGTTATAATTTTCGATTTAAAATTGATTGTGCAACAGCCTCAATACTACGTGAGGGGTTCCCCGGTGAAAAAACAGAAATATCTATATCTAGGCCAATATACATGTAATTTTAAGACCTTACTAAAAAATGTAGGAATTCTTACAGAATTTCCTCAAAATGAAAATATCAAATGTTAAGCTAAGACGTGACTCGGACGTAGAAATTCTTACAGAATTTCTTACAGAATTTCCTCAAACTGAGAATGCAAAATTTTATTCTTATTTACTCGTGTAAGATCTCTTGAAATACAGGAACATTATCGTTTTCACATTTGGGAAGGTTTTAATGTACTAGTATTTTGTAACAAATTCCATTTTCTTAATTATTTTGTTCTGACAATCTGTATAAAATGTCAAAAAATTAAATCAATTAAAAGATTATTTTATGAAAAGTCTAAGATTGCAGAATATTTCAATTTTTAGGGGGTACTGTACATCACCAAGTGTTTAAAAAATCTTTAATTTTTAACTAAATATTTTTTTTTTAGATATGAATAAAAGTCCTGACCAATTTATGTGAAAGGGAATAAATATGTAGAAT